CGGATAGCTGGCAGAAGCCCGTCACGGAAACGTCTCGCCTTCTTCTTCTCGGTGTCCACCAGATACGGGACAAAGGACCCGAGACGAACAAACTCCCGCTCGTACTCATCTACCGAGCGGTGGCCCTACTTAAGCGCCAAGAACTGGCGCTCCATCTCAGCCTTGTAGGTATCCGGGTAATACTTCTCCCGCAGCATCTCCTTGAACTGTGCCCAGTTGAGGTTCTCCTTCTCACCAGGGCACAAGCCCCAGTAGGAGTTCCACCACAGCCTGGCATCTCCTGTCATCTGGACCTGGGCACACAGAATGCTATGCCTCTCGGAGGGTCTCCCTGCCCCGAAAACTTGTCTGGGTTGTAGCCGCGAAACTGAGCGACTACCTCAGCCTGGGACATCTCTCTCTGAGCTTGGTTCTGACGACGGGCCATGTGAGAATAAGCCGCGTAACTGGGTCAGAACAGGAGGATGAAATTGCATAAGGCTGATGAGGAAACGCTGAATACTGGAATAGGCACAAATTTCTTGACGAGTTGCTAAAAATAACTCGATAATCTAGAGTTCGACTAGAGTTCGAATCTAGAGTTATGAAATCTGATAGAGGACATAACTGATACTACTAGGAGTCTTATACTGATCTGAGCATCTAGAGTTCGGATTATCTGAATCCTATTGAGCATAGACATAGTACGGTTTGCTTATATAAACTTTAAAAAACTTTTACAGCAAGCACTTACCTGGTAGTCGGCGCGGCGTGAGTGTGGTGTGGTCGAGTTTTGCAAAATTTCCCTGTCTCTTAAAACATTCAGAAGCACAAACGGTGCTCTGATACCAACTGCAACACCCCGCTAACTAGGGCCAAATTTTCGCAAATTTTAACTCTTTCGAAAACGCTTATAAATTTTTCGAAATCATTTGCAAACTATCTCGGGACGCTGCTAAGGACTTTTCTGCTTAAAAAAACCGTTTCTTTAACCTAGGTCTAACGACTGGTTTAGACTTAAAGAATTCAGGTTTATATTTTTACAAATCATGCATATTAGTCTGAACTCGTTCGTACTGGCAAACCGAGTAAAATTATTTAAGTCTGAAAATAGCATCATGCATGTTCGATAATAAGCACAAGCATAGCGGAAGTCTGAAATGCGTGGAATTATTTAGTTTACAAACAGTTTAAACAAATGTCCCGGGAACAGCTTTCGTGCGGAACTCACGACCACCACCACCACAGCTCGACTCACGCCTGCCCGCCGACCCTGCCATCTGAAAAATATAAAGTGGGGGTGAGTACGGTCCACTTGTACGCCATAAAAACCCATTCTAAAGTAAACAGTAATATTAATAATGATATCACAAACTGGTATATATAAGTAAACTGTAACTCCCGGAACTCTTTGGCCGGTAACTCCCGGAACACTCTGGCCGGTAACCGTGTGCACACTCTGATGGTATAACTAGGGCAAACTGGGCCACCACCAGAACTTAGGAAAGGCAAACTGGGCCTTAACCCAAAGTGGAAAAAACTCATATACATACCTGAACGTGATATCGACTATTAAACTCAATGTATAACCCAGACTGGGTCCCCACCTGATCGGTTTTGAAAATGAGTAAGTGCGGCTGTGCTGGTAGCTGACTCCTCAAGCTACATAAAAATATAAGCAAACAAATATACTAAGTACTATGCTCGTCATATGCTCAAAAATATGCTAGGATGCTCTACTCTATCAGATTACTCATCCGGATATAAAGGAACGCTCTAAGGGTTCACAGAAATAATTCTAAGTCCGGAAATAATACTGATATGCTTAACTGATCTGGTTTGGCTCGGAAAAATACTTAAATTTCGGAATAAGACTCGGACCGAAAATCACGAACCAAAACGGACTCGAACCGCCGGCTAAACCGGCCGGTTCGCTAACTGGCTGAACCGGGTCGGGCTGGACCGGACCCGGTTGGACCACCGGGTCACACTGGACCGGTTGGTCACGGGCTGCTCGGACTGGCCGGGCTCGATCCCGTGCCGGGCCTGCTGGGGCCATGGCACGGCGCTGGGCACTAGCTGGGTGCGACCGGGCACGGTACTAGGCGCTGCTGGGCGCGGGCTGTGCGGCTGGCACGGGCCCTGGCACGACTGGTGCCACTAGGTGCGGCTGGGCACGACCGAGAGTCACTGGGTGTGCTGGCGTGCTGCTGGGCACGGTCGAGCACGAGGGACGCGGGAACTGGCGCGTACCCGGGTTGACTGGGCACTGGGCGTGCGGCTGGCACGACCCGAGTGCGACTGGCGCGAGAACGGACGTGGCCAGACACTACTCGCGCGGCTCGGGCGCGGCTAGGGCTGTCAGGGTGCTACCGGGCGACCCTGGGCACGCGGGCATGCTGCTGGGCACGTCCCGGGCTAACTGACTACTCGGGCGTGCTGCTGGGCACGTCCCGAGGCCTCTGGACCTGACTCGGGGTCACTACAGCACGGCACTGGACACTCGGGTGCGCTGCTGGCACGACCCGAGGTCGACTCCGCGTGGTACGAGCGACTGGCTCGGGATCACGCGTGCATGACACTGGGACAGCGCTGCCGGGCGCTGTCGGAGGTGCTCTGGCGCGACTGGCGCTGAGACCTCGCGGGCTGGCACGGACAGGCGCGGCTGGGCGCTGTCACGTGCACTGGGGACTGCGGTGCCTCGCGAGCGCTAGGCGCGGGCACGGACAGGGGCACTGCCTGGCCCCTGCGACGCGGCACGGGCACGGCACGCGCGACTGGCGCGGCTGGTGACCCTAGCCGGTCCTTTGCCAAACTTCCGGCAACTTTGCCGGGGACTACTGAACCAAATCAACCTAATATGACATAAAATGCTCAAAAATGCCAAAAGTCACTGAGGGACCTCGGTTGGATTTGGTGGTGGGCTTATAGGGCCGATTAGGCACGAGGCCACCCTAGGGCACAAAAATGAACATGCTCAACATGAAAATTGACCTAGGGCCGAATGATATACATCAAAAATCATGGCTAATGAGGCTAGAACATTGGTCAATACATGCATGCACATATACTTAGGTTCGGGGGTGAAAATGGCTCGATTTCACTTAACAAATTGACCGAACAAATGAACTCAAAGCATGAAACTGTTTTAACCATGTCATACTCATGATTTTTGAGGATTTTTAAGATACTAATCTCGGCCATATCATGCATGTACCATAACTTACGAAATTAGGGCTTAAATCTTCAAAAATCCAAATCTCCATATTCTTCTCATGCATGGCATCATTTTTGTACATGATAAATCTTATTTTATCATGAATAAGCTAGGAAAAATGAAAGTCACGAGCTAACCTCCTTCAAACTCGAAAATGGTGGTGATGCCCGCCACTAGTGCCTACACGCGGCTCCTCGAGCTTTGACTTGTTCCAACGACTATTGGCTGCAAATGATGGATTCTGGGAACTCCTAAAAATACACAAAACACTATGGAGTGGCTGAGCCCCGAGAGAAAATGGCTGGAACAAGGTGCACCTATCAAACTCCTCCACCCGGGCTCACACGCGCGCGCGGCAAAGGGTTGGGCTTGCTCTCGGTTTCTCAACTTTTCCCTCACTATCTCTTATGTGTTTAAGGTGTCCAAGAGTTGGGGAAATGATGGGGACATCCCTTAAGTAGTGCAAATGGACGGAGGTTACAAGGTGCCCAAGGGGAACACCAAACATCACAAGCGCATGCATGAGGGTGAGGGCTTGGCGTGACATGGAGGAGCCTTGGGGACAGGTATGGCACGGATTCTGGGAGCATCTTGCAGGGCATCTTGGACTAAAATATGCCTTGGGTCAGGCCTTGTCCCATGCATGAGGTAGTGGGGGACAAATCCAACAACACATGCATTAAAATATTCCATGCACATGTCCACATTTGGACTCACTTGAAAGTGCTTAAGGCTTAAACTTCATTAGGGTTAATTAAGCTTAATTAAACCCTTATTATGTCCTAATTACTCGCCACTTTTGGGTCATGAGGAAAGTGGGCCGGAATTAATGGAATTGGGCCCAAGAAGTGGGCTGGTGCGCTGCCCGCGCTGGGCCTGGGCGCTGCTGGGCCCTGGGCGCTGTCTGGGCTGTCGCGGCACGGGGCCTGGGCGCGAGCTGGGCGCGGGAACTGCTGTCCTGGGCTGCGCGTGAGAATTACTTGGCCCAAGTACTATCCCCATGCTAGGCTGAACTTAAGTGTTCAAAACACTTAGAAAAATACTAGGAAAAACATGGCCAAGACTTGGGCTCATGCAAGCACGCGCGAGGACTAAGGCGCGGGTACTAGCGCGCGACATTGGCTTGGGCTCGGCATACACTAGGACCGAGGCTAACCTTTGCCTATGGCTGAACTCATGGTTCGTCTAGGGAACCAAATCACTTGGAAAAATTATGCCACATTACTAACCATGACTTGGGCACTCGCGGCTTGGCGAGGCACGCGACACTTGGGCGCGAGGACTCGGACCCGTGCACGAGCTCGGTGCGGGGGTTACTCTCGACCGAGTGACTTGTCCGAGGCTGGATAGAGTGATCTCATACTTAGAAAATATTCTAAGTAAGGCTATGAGCATGGCTAGGGCTCGAACAAGACTCGAGACAACTAGGGCTCGAGAATTTGCTGATAACTGGGCTCGAGACTCAAGACGAGCAGTATTAATAAAAAGAAATTGTTCAACTGGGAACTAAAAATTGTCATTTTTATTAATACGGAGCTGGGCTATTACAGTAGTCGATTCTCTTAAGCCATCTGGAAGTCGGTAGTTGTTCAACTATACCGACTTGAGCTAAGTTTAGCTGTTGAACAATAATTTCAAAGGGCTATTAACGGGATAAGATGATCAACCTTTAATTAATCATAAGAAATCAAGTCGGTCATCAACACACAGAATTCCAAGCTTTAATTCTACACATAGTGTTTAGAGAAATTCAAGGTTACGAACTGCTTTAGAGCAGAAAGCATCCCCAAGACAATTATTTTACCTGAATATAAGGTATTGTCTGCAGCTTTATCACCGATCAACATTGAATCGCACCGAGACGAGTTCTTCGCATTATTCGCACCCGACATCATCTGAACAAGGCCCCTCCCCTGTAATAGTTCCTCGAATTTCCTGTCAAAAACCCTTTGGAAATAATCCTGCTCCTTATGTTCCTCCCTTTTCGTATCATCCTGGTGCCCGTATCCGCCTGCTGGTAGTTATTCGTGAGGGCCACCGAGTAGAACTCCCCAACAGACCCATCCCCCTCTAGAAAAATAAACTGATCATGCGCAGGGCCTGCTTCCCCGACGAGTCCACGCTCATTCCAATTATCCTATCGGGCATCATTCGCTTGTACTCCTGAGATGTCGCCAGGAAGGTCGCGTGCGGGCCCCATACCCCATAGGCACACCAAACCTCTGCGCGGACCCGACCATAATATTCGCCCCCATCTCGCCTTACTGCTTCAACACATAACGCTAGCAGATCTAAAGCCATCGCCACCTTATCTCCGTGATCGTGCGCATTCTTCACAAACTCCTTATAAACAAGAATTTCACCTTCGGTCCCCGGATACTGCACAAGAGCTCCATAAACATCTCCCCATTTGTGGCTAATGTCTTTTAAATTTGAGACAAGCACTTTCAGGTCGAACCCATCAGCCTGTGTCTTGCAAATGTCGATCATCTGCGGGTGGCAATTGCTGGCCAATAGAAAAGTCTTCTTCCCCTTCTGAATGTTGTTGCACATGGCCATGGCCTCGGCTACAGCCGTGCCCTCGTTGAGCAAGGAAGTGTTGGACATGGGCAGGCCGGTGAGGTCGGTGATGAGGGTTTGGAAATTGAGGAGGTATTCGAGCCTCCCCTGAGATATCTCGGCCTGGTAACGGGGTGTATTGGGTGTACCAACTAGGGTTTTCCATGATGTTCCTGAGAATCACCGGCGGGACGAAGGTGTTCTAGTACCCCATGACTATGTACGACTTGAATAGCTTGTTCTTGGAGGCGATGTCCTTCATGTGGGAAAGATCTGGGACTCCATCAGCCCGGCGTAGAAGATTGGGAACTCCATCGTGTCGATGCGGATGGATTTAGGGAAGGAGGCTTCGATCAGCGTATCGAGGGTGTTGTACCATAGCGATTCGGCCATCTTTGACTGCTTA